TTCTCCCTTCCCCCACCCCCCACCCTGAAACAGGGGCCAACAGCAAAGAGGGGACTGGAACCCAGATTAGTCAGAAGAAGAGCTGGTGTTTCAGCGGCCAGGGTCAGGGAGGGGCTAGGTTCTGAGACCGCGGGCTGGAGTTCTAACCACGTAGGGGCCACAGCCTGAAGGCTGGGACCCTTACCAGGCACAGGGCTGGTATTAAGGCCATGTAGGAAGCTGAGACCACAGAAAAGCAACACTTTCAGGGAAAGGGATGGAAGAAATTCCACCCACAGGCACAGAAAGATGTAAGGAAATTTGGGCTCTGGTTGGGGAAAAAGGTTTCCTGGGAGAGTTTTGCATTTTCAGTTTGGAGTGCCTGCAAAGGAGTCATCCCACCAGTACCATCTAGGAACCCCAAAGTTGAGAAATTAACATTAAATAGTAGTCATTAGCTTAGTAGTACCCCTGGGGCCCCTGGCAAAACACACAGAAAAACTGTCAGATGCATCCCAGAAGCCCAGCTACCCAAGATTTTTCATGTAAAGGCCCTCTGAAGCTAAGCTTGAAATCCAAAATTCCAGAACACATAGGGGAAGAAGTCGCTGTGAATGAAAGACAACAGACCCCAAAGGGGCAGGATTAGGCACCCCCCCAAACACCTCCCCCAGCTGTGAGAAAGAGGCTGAAAAATAGGTGTGTGTGTCAGGCAGCTGCTAAAATGTCTCCCAGTGCTCTCTAACCTTTGACCTGCTCCCCTTTGCATCATCTCCTCCCCTTGGCTGTGGGATGGACCTAGTGATGTTCTTCTCAGAATACGTCCTGTGGTAGGCAACAGGCTAAGCTGGCCTCTAAGGCTCTCATGCAGTTCCCGTGTGTGTTGGCAGGGACACCGAAAGAGATAGGAGTGTGTCCCACGGTCAGGTTCCCAATCCCCACAAGCTGGTCAAAGGGGATAGTACCTTGGGTGGGCCGGAACTAACTAGGTGAGTCCCTTGAAAGAAGGACAGGGGGCAGAGAGGCCATCTCCTGCTGGCCTGGAGGAAGACAGAGTACCACAGCAGGAACCTCAGAGGCCTCGAGGAGCTGCCAACCAGCAAGAACACGGGAGCCTTAGTGCTGCAACCACAGGGCACCGAATTCTACCAACACTCCAGTGAGTGTGGAGGAGGATTCCAGCTCCAGATGAGAAGATGGCCCAGTGGCCCCTCACTTGCAGCCATCTGGGGCCCTGAGCAGAGGCCCCAGATATGTCGGGCCGACTCCTGATCTGAATCAATTGTGAAATGATATATGGAGGTTGTTTTAAGTGTCTAAGTTTGTGGTGACTTGTTGCCCAACAAGAGAAAGAAGGCGGCAAAAGTGATGGATAGTCACTGCTGAGATGACGTTAAAGCCTGATTCTGTTTGGCCCCACCCTCTCGCTCTCATGGCTGGCTCGCTCTGGCCCTACGGGGAGGCCCACGTGGCTGAGAATGGAGGGCAGCCTCCTGCACAATCTGTGAAAGCCCTCAGTCCAACAGCCCGAGAGAACACGGATCCTGCCAGCAACCACAGGAGTGAACTTGGACAAAGGTCCTTCCGTGACCTTGATTAACAGAGGCACAAAGGCATCAATGGACTTGGCCCAAAATTTATTAGTCACGTAGGAAACGGAGACTCCATTCACCTGAGAAGAGTACACAGAAACTCGCATGCACCAGGTCCAAGGGCAGAGGCAGTGATTTCACAGGAACCTTGGCCAGACCTGCCTGCTGGATTTGGAGGGTCTCCTGGGGACATGGGGGACGGCTGAGGCTCACTCAGGGGACTTAAAAGCTGGTGATGGACATTCTGGGAGATTAATTCTGGGAGCATTAATCTCCATGAGCTTTCCTGGAAGCTGACAC